CCTGGTTAGGTCATGTGGGGTCAACATAGAACCTAACCAGGTTGCTTGAGAGTGAGATTAGGGTGGCGAGACATTTCGAGGAGACTTCATGCGGCGATTTGAGAGAGGCGACAATGAGAGGCACTCGCACCTGGAATCTGATTCAAGGGAGACACTTGGCAACTTAAGGGCTGCCCTCAAGTAGGCGAGCTTGAGGGCCGGCGGCCATTCTACATCAACGGACTGCAAGTCACTACTTTGATCTTCAGCATCGACCGGGGATCCGGCATTGCACTTGGGTGTTGGAGTCAGACCCTCCTAGGAGATAGGACACTAGTGTAGGGGCAGCGTTAGAGGGGTCAGGAGGACCACATGAGAAGGGGGGTGAGTTCTATTCATCTCGAAGCTCAAGGTCACTCAGGTAAGTGTCGTGCACCTACGGGATGCCCATGTATATGTGTATGGTATTGATTGGTACTCTGGGTTTCTTTTCCTACTCCTCTGTGGTCTTGATTGTGTGACTGAATTCATGTGATCTACCTACTCACCTGATGGATGGAAAATGAAGTATCTTGACCTACATGCCGAGTCTTTCTACAGTGCTTTGTCTTTTCATCTCTGAACGGTTGTAGTCTGTAGGTTTTGCCAAAAGTTGAAATTTTGTGTTTCAGTGCAGTAGAGATGAACTAAGTTCATGTGAAACTCCTCTTGGTTGGGACCTGGTTGAGACCTACGTGGGAACCTTGGGACCCAACGGGACCCTGGGGACCCAGCGGGACCGGGCCCAAACAAGAAGAGCCTCTGGACCCAAATCGGTTAGGCATTGACCTCTTGTCTTCTTGGCTGGGATACGAGTTAATTCTTTTTGGATTAGGACACCCACTGCCGAGGGGATCTTGGCTGAGACGTTTCGCATGTATTCTGATTGCACTGTCCGTGGCTTGACTCGCACCCTGTACACCACTCAATTCTCCATTATTGCATTTAGTTACTCGTTGTCTGATTTGTTGTACGGACACAGAGCTGGTCAGACTGAACTCGAGAGGACCTCGTATGCAGTCTGATCAGACTGGGTCGCTGGATCAGACCTCTCATTGAGTTTGTTTGTGTCTTTTGATTCTGCTGCTCTCTACTTCCAAATGAAACGCCGCTCCGGCTAGGAGTTCTACCTTCTCTTCTCTGAGCTTTTCAGTCTGTTTCTCTGAGTTCATTTTCGATGCCCGTGGAGACTCGCAACTTGAAAGAAGAGAGAGAGAGGAGGGAGAGAGAACAGGGAGAGAGGGAAAGTGATCGTCTGAGGTGGGCTAGGACAGGGAAAAGGAGTGTTCGTCCAAGCGGGAGGGGGAGTGAACCTCTTGAGAATCTAATTGATTCTTTTGCTGATTGGCGACTCTCTGACCCACCTGTCCATACTGACAATCCAATAATGGCTCAGCTAACTTCAGTTCAGTGGCGGGCCTTGTTAAATGCAGCCAGTGATGCTGAGAAACCTTATCTACAAGCACTTTTAAATAGTGCAATCAAAAGAGAACAGGAGACAGAGAAAGAGAGAAAGGAGACCTTGCTGAAAAGGCAAGTGGCCCTCCTAGAGACTGTTCCCCCACTGACTGAACAGCAGTGTGGGGAACAGTTGCAGTCTACGCTCACAGCCTTTGTTCAAGTTAGGAATCTTGAGGACCATACCACTCAGATCGCTGAAGTCTTTGCAAAGTTGCAGATACTTCAAGATGATCTGACTGATATGACCCGCAAGTACCATGAATTGACAAAGGAGGTGGCTGACCTGCGACAAGCCCAAGTGACCAACCCTCTTCCTCTACCCCCTGGATCTGAAGCTGCAATCGAAACTACTTTTGCCCCTCTTACCGTATCTTCTTCCTCGAATGTGTTGGCAACCCCCTCGGGACCTGCAACAGGTGCAGATTCCGTTGTTGCTATAACCAGCAATGTGGCTGGAACTTCTGCAACTGCTGCAGCCCCAAGGTTGGAATCAGTAAGTGCTGGTCCCAGCTACGCCGGTCCCTATGTGGACCGAAAGGCGGTACAAATGCCGTCTAAGTATGACAGCAAGGAAGACATCGAGTCCTGGATCGGCTCCATGAGGGCCTACTTTGAGATTCTGGGAACTCAACGTGAGAACCAGGCGGTGATCATGGGAATGAATGTCGAACCGGTCGTACGGGGCTTCCTAGAAGTCCAAGCGACGCGGGTTGGGTTCCAAAAGACTGCACTAGCCAAATGGCTTAGGACCACCCCGGTTGCCTCCCTCGAGGATCTCCTTATCTCACAAGTTCAAGATTGTGATAGGCTGCAGGGAAACCAGAATCGGGCGTAGAGTCAGATTCAGCATACTCTACAGCAGGGGAGTCCGGTTCTGTTGAAAATCAGTAACCCTCCCTTGAAGCCCAACCATCTGTTGAAGACAAGGTTGAGGTAAGTAATATCTTGTATGTCGAGCCTTGGGAGGAGTCTGAGATGGTTGACTTCCACTACCACTTGGAGCATTGGGTTGAGATGAAACAGCAGCGTGCCCAAGGGACAATGAAGTTGATCTTCTTTAAACTTCTCATAAACCACCGCTATCTCCGTGTGTTGGTTGACTGTGGTGCTACAGCTAACTTCATGTCACCTCATGGGTTACGCAAGGTGGGCTTGGGGATGAAGCAAGTGGTCCTGCAGAACCCTTGCCGGACCCAAGTTGGCAACAAAGAAGTTGTCTCTTCAACACATGCAGTCAAAGGTGTGCGCACTACCTTTGACAAAGGCAAGACCGTCACCCATGCACTGAACTTCTTTGTCCTTGACAAGTGCCCCTTCGATGATGTCCTTGGCTTGGGCTGGCTGCAGTCCCAATGCGAATGGACCAAGTGGAAGGAGTCACTCTTCATGGTCAAATATGCTCAGGGGAACGAACTTCCTGTCCTCTTGGATGAGAAGCACGAATCCCCAGTGACTTTTCTAAACGCATTGAAGTTCTACAAGAAGTGGCGCAAGCACAAAGAGGACGAACAGTTGTATGTTGCCTTTGTTCGTCCTGCTCATGTGCCTTCTACTTTTGCGGCTAATACCACTACTACTTTGATTGATGATCCTACTTCTGGTACTTCTACTACTAGCACTTCTACCTCTCTACCCTCTAATAGTCCAAATGATCCTACTTCAGATTCGGTCGTCTCTATACGCGGCTTGCGACTAGATCTTGGTGATCCCTTTCCTGATTCCCCACCCGCACCTGTCCCATCAGACATCCAAACCCTCCTCGATCGGTTTCCGAAAGTCCTGGCCGAGCCACGTGGAGTCCCCACGCGACCGGTCCGACACACCATCGAGTTGGTCGAGAGTGTTGTTCCTCCAAAGGGCTGCGTGTACCGTATGGGACCCGGCGAGTTGGAGGAACTTCGACAACAGATCGATGAGATGATTGACAAAGGGTGGATCAAACCTAGTGAATCCGAATTTGGTGCTCCTGTGCTGTTTGTGCCAAAGAAAGGAGGCAAACTCCGCATGTGTATTGACTACCGCGGTCTAAACCACATCACAAGAAAGAATGCTTATCCATTGCCTCATATAGATGACTTGCTTGATGCCGCAGGCGGGTGCAAAGTCTTCTCCAAGATCGATCTCAAGTCTGGCTACCACCAGATTGAAGTCGATCCTGCGGACCAGCACAAGACTACGTTCAATACACGCGACGGGCTTTATGAGTTCACCGTAATGCCCTTCGGTCTTACGAACGCACCCGCCACTTTCCAAAGCCTCATGGACAAGGTCCTCCGCGAACAGATTGGCCAGTTTGTGGTAGTGTACCTGGATGATATTCTGATCTTCAGCAAGTCCATGGAGGAACACCTCAAGCATCTTGAGGAGGTGCTCGTTATTCTCAAAAAGACACAACTCCATCTCAACTTGGAGAAATTTGAGTTTGGGAAGGATAGCGTCATCTATCTTGGGCATCGGTTGTTTGCTGCAGACCTAGAGCCTAAGGCAACCAAGATTGAGGTCATACGCGATTGGCCTCAGCCTGCGAACATTCGCGAATTGCGTTCTTTCCTTGGTCTCGCGTCCTACTATCGAAAGTTTGTGCCCCGCTTCTCTATTATTGCTCGTCCATTGTCGCGACTAACCAGTAAAAATGTGCCTTATTCCTGGGATGCCGCGTGTACGGAAGCCTTTCGAGCTCTCAAGGAAGCCTTGGTAAGTTACCCGGTACTCTGCATTGCAGATCCCAAACTGACATTCGTAGTTACCACGGATGCAAGTCAGTATGGAATTGGTGCAGTGCTGCAACAAGATGACGGCGATGGCCTGCGGCCACTCGAGTACTACAGCAAACGAATGCCCAGCGTAAAGGTAGCCACCTCCACCTACATGCGCGAGCTCTATGCTTTGCGTATGGCGTTGGATCACAAGAAACATTATCTTTTGGGACGCCACTTCAAAGTCTTCTCAGATCATGAGACCTTGAAGTGGATCAAACAGCAAACTACCCTGTCCCCTACCTTGCTTCGCTGGTTCCATGAGATTGACATCTTCGATTTTGAATTAAGACACAAAAAGGGTTGTTACAATCGAGTCGCTGACGCATTGTCTCGCCACCCTGAGTACACGACTTGCCTTGTGAAATCCTACGACCTCCGGAAGAAACTGAAAGAGGAGCTCGTAGAGCAGACAGCCAAGGATCAAGAACTTAGTTCCATCCTTGAGCAGGTGCAGACTGATCCTAGTAGTCAGCCTGATTTCCACGAGTATGGAGGACTGATTTTTCGTCGCTACGGGAACCATGACCGTTTGTGTGTGCCCAACCATAAGCCTCTCCGCACACACTTTCTGGACTTGGCTCATGGCCGGAGCGGGCATTTCGGTATGGCAAAGACGTACGCTAATTTGCTGAGACAGTTTGATTGGCCTGGCGTGAAAGGGACTGCTGAGAAATTTATGGTTGAATGTCAAGTCTGTCAACGGATCAAACCATGCAGACAAAAGCCCATGGGGCTACTCACACCCCTACCCATTCCTGATGGTCCCGGGAGTCTGTCTCCATCGATTTCACTGATATGGGTAAGGTAAGCAAAAACGGGTATTCACAAGTCATGGTGATTGTTGACCGATTTTCAAAATTTCTTAATCTGATCCCTTTGTCGCCCCACGCCCCAACAAATCTAGTGATTCGCGAATTCCAACAGAAATACCTGCTGCAATTGGGAACCCCGAAGACTCTTGTGAGCGATCGGGATCCGCGTTTCATTAGCACTGAATGGAAGGATTTCACGTCTCACCTAGGGATCAAACTGTGCATGACATCTGGCCGACACCCCGAAGCCAACGGTTTGCCTGAGGAGATCAACCAGACTGTATTTCAATTTCTCCGCACGTTGATTATTCCGGACCAGGAGACATGGGATGAGGAGCTGTATTCTGTTAACGGGTTGTACAACAACTCCATCCATTATGCCACCGCCATGACACCCAACAGGTTGCACTACGGTTGGCAGATCCATAATCCGCTCTCCTACTTATCCCCTGATCAGCCAGCTGGCTTAACACCCGGCAGGCCCGGCTTCAGGGCTAAGTATGATCGCTCAAAGTTGTTGTTGCAGCTATGACCAAGCAACAGCATGCCATGATCCACCATGCAAACAAAAAGCGACGACCATCGGAGATTCAAGTAGGAAGCTACGTCTGGGTGAAGGTGTCTGAATTCTCAGAAGAGGAGGGAGTCTCACGCAAACTCCTCCCACTCTACTACGGGCCTTGGGAAGTTTTGGATGTAATTGGGGAAGATCACTTTGGCCCTTCGTACGTTGTAGATGTGCCAGCTCACCTRCGCACATATCCCGTGTTCCATGCATCTAAATTGTATCTCCACCGTGACGTCGAGACATTCGATTACCGCGAAGATATGATCCCTCGCGCAATCAAGGGCGGGCACAAGATAGATAGAATCAAACAGCATGTAGGTAAGGGAAGAAACAGACAGTACCAGGTTCAATTCATGTATCACCCGTTAGACGATCTGTACTGGATCTCCAAACAGGAGCTGCTACACAGCACACCGCGCGTTGTCAAAGCCTACGAGCGACAAATCGCTGCTAACGCCGCACCAAAGATCTCAGCAAGGCTCACTGTGACAGAGTATTCCAGGAATCTCTTTGCCTTGCTCGCTTACGATGCGTTTGCCGATGACTCAGAATGAGTTACTCGCTCGAAGGGACCTCGCTCTTGAGGGGGGGGTAGTGTGATAACCCGTCGAAACACGGACTGAAACACACAACTGATTTGTGAGTTTTGCTCATAGACTGAATGCCCTACTGAGTTCCCCGCCTGCTAAGTCTGTGTGTGTGTGGGCTTGCTGGACTGCATGTCTGTCTGAGTGCTGGTTGGCTTGCGTGTGTGTGATTGTGCCTGTCTGAGTGCTGGTTGGTATGAGTGTGTGTGTGTGGCCCGCCATGGCACTTGTTCGTTCGTTTGGCCCTCAGGGCCGGTACTTACTTGTGGTCGTGGCTTCGAAGGGTTGCAGCGGGGAAAAAGCACTCAAGTAGCGGGTAGGCCGGTACCGCACCCGGCAGGGGGGTAAATATGCAGGTACCGGAGGCCGAGCACAAGAAGACAAAAGTGGCATTTTTAGAGGCCGGTAGTGTAGGCTAGGTCTAGTGGGTACCAGTCTGAGTCTAGGGCCTGTAGGGGCAATATCAGAGTCTGCAATGATGTTTCCCTCCAAAAAAAGGAGAAGGTACCGGTTGCTTGGGAAGGCCAGCGGCCTGGAAGTCACCGCCCAAGAGGCAAAGCAGGCCGCTATATCTTTAGGCCGGGCGGAAGACCCGACCTCTTTTTCGGTGTGCAAGTTTGGCAACACACTGGTGGAGCGCTGGCTGGAGCAGCGCTAAGCTGGAGCAGCGTTGCTGGGGAGGAAGGAGAAGGACATGAGGGAGGAAGAAGGAGGAAGGAGGAAGGAAGGGGGAGGAGCGCCAGGGGTACTTACCTGGCTATGGTGGCAGCCATCGTCATCACCTTGGTGGGCGCTGCAGCAAGAAGTCCCCAGCCGGGGAGAGCCACACCAAGAAGCTTCAATGCAGGGTTGGGCATGTCGGCCTGAGCTAGAGCAACCATAGCTGCTTTGGGTTGTCCTTTGGATGTCTGGGCAAGGCCTAGTAGTCCGCCATAGCCTCGGCCTATGAGAGTGAAGAGTGGGAGGGGCGGCCATGGCTATGGTGGTTCTCGAGTGATACCTGCAGTAGAAGAGGGACTCAGACATTGATTATGGACCAGTCATTCAACATTGTACTATTATTTCTTGAATGAATAAGAGAAGGGGGAGATAAGGAGGAGGAGATTGTTGGGCGAAGAAGAAGAGCCTTGTCATTGTTTTTGCTGGTGTACATCTTCTTCTTCTTCTTTCTTATTTCTTCTTCTTCTTCTAATCCTCTCTCTCCTCTCAAGTTCATTCATTTCTTTCTGCAATTGGATGGCATTGTACTTTCCGGTGGATGTGTATCTCGAAATTGGCCAGGGTCATAACAAACCAATAATATTAGACCCAAGTCCGGGTCTAATTTTGACAGACCTCTAAATAAGTGGATACTGCACGGCGCGCGGTTCTACTGAAACGTTTCAAAACTACACATCGGCCTATCAGTCGAACTCCCGGCCGTCAACCTTCCTCGCCCACTGCGCGACTATACCGAACCATGTCGTCGTTGACGTTGTCCTCCATACACATGCGCAAGGCACAGGTAAGCGCACCAATCATGAGACTGAATCTTTTCAATACTAGTTTAATCAGAGACAAAAATCTGGCCTAATAAAAAAAACAAAAAGATCACGTGCGCCTCAAATCTGTGTGCCCACACACTCTCTACTCTAGTCATCCATTCAATCAACGCAAACCACAGACAATGTTGCGCCTCGCGCGGTATGCTTAAACTTTAACCCAAACTTATTTTCTATCACCTGCAAAAACCAGGGAGGATACCCTGTAAGGGTATTCGCACCGACACCGGTTCTCCATCCCAACCTCTACTTCCCCCGATTGCGACCTACCTTGCCCTGATAGCTCTTCCTCCTCCTCCTCCCGCTGTTGCGCCTGCTCTTCCCCCCTTCCTCCTCCCGCTCGTCCCGCGGGCTGCGCCCTCACCCACAGGCAGTCTGCGCGGCTGGCCTCTCTCTCTCTCTCTCTCTCTCTCTCTCTCTCTCTCTCTCTCTC